AATTAGTAAATGTGCCCCAAATTTTTATATGTAAATCCCCTGCTTCGTACACATTTCACCAATTAATATTTTTTTTTCTCTAAATAAATAAATAAATGATTGAATAATCGATTACCTTTAGCAACTGATGCCATTTCAATATCTGATTCTGTGATTTCACCAACACCAAAATCAACAACATTAACTCTAACCTCGTTATTTCCTAAACCATAAAGTGCATCAATAACTGCCTCCACTGATCCGCTGACATCACCTATTTATTTATTCATTCAACATTGTTTTAATAAAAAAATTAAATAAAATATTAAAAATTATTGTTTATTATACTTTACAAACAATAATAACCTTTAACCACCAAATTTAGTTCTTTAATTTTATTTTCTTCGGTTTTTTCTTCTTTAATGGGATCTGATTGAGATGGTGGGGGTGGTGGTGTGGGATACTCTGATAATAATCCTTTATGAAACATCCAAACTTCTTTTTTAAAATTTTTAGTTTCACTTCTTTCATTATCTAATTCTTGTTTTCTGATTCTTCTTTTTTCATTAATCACTTCAAGATCTTTGAGTTGTTTGTCTCGTAATTCTTTTTGTTTTCGATTTTCTACTACAGTTTTTGCCAAATCCTACATGTATTATTTATTTATTTATTTATTTATTTATTTATTTATTTATTTATTTATTTATTAAGTTAATTTGGGGTTTTTTTTACCAATTATTAATTACTTACTTCATCTTTAGCCTCAAGTACTTCATCTCCTGCATTTGGCAATTCCTTCCAACCAGTTACTTTAACAGGCGTACCAGGTAAAGCTTGTTTAGTAATTCCACCTTTATCGTCAATCATTGACTTTACTTTACACCAACTTTTTCCCGCTACTATTATGCTTCCTTGCTTCAAGGTTCCTCGTTTCACTAAAACTGTAGCCACGTTTCTAAAATGATATAATAAATATGTAGCTTCACATATAGATACATACATTTTATATAATATTTGATTATATACCCTCTTCCTTTTTCAAGTTGTGATTCAATAATAACGCCCTCAGATTCCATATCAAATTCAGC